GAACTTGAGCAGCAGCAAGGACATCATTTACCAATTTGGAATTCTTTCCTTGACAAAATGAATGAATTGACCTGGATTGCACCATCCCTTATGGTCTGCAAACTTTGATGCTGAAAAGTGAATAAATCAAGCGCAGCATTTTGCAACTATAGCTTCAGGTTTTACCATATGTATGCCATGGTGAATAGTCTTTTTGCTTCAGTTTTTGCCATAAGCATGCCATGGTCAGATGGCGAATAGTCTTCTTGCTTCAGTTTTTGCCATAGGCGTGCCATGGTTAATATAGTCTTTTGCTTCAGTTTTTGCCATACGCATGCCATGGTGAATAGTCTTTTTGCTTCAGTTTTTGCCACAGGTGTGCCATGGTGAACAGTTTTCAGCTCTAATTTTAGCCACAGGCATGCACTAGTGAACAGTTAATAGTTTCAGTTCTTGCTGTAGGCAATGACTGACAATAGCACTTGTTTGGTGCATGGCCTGTCATCCATGACACAGTCTGATATCAATAGTGGTACTGTAGGTCAAACAGTTTTGTGTACAGCATCAGAGCAGGCCGTATGGTAAGCATTTGTTTTTTCATTGCATCCAAGGGGTACATACAGGTACACATGTACAGTGTATGCATACGGCTGCAAGCATGAAAGAAAGCTAGGCCAAGCAGCTACAATGTACATGTAGCAAGGTAGCATATTGACTGCACACAATGAAAGAGAACTATTTGTGATGGACAAAAAATAGCAAAGTACAAGTACTTTGAGTTTATAAAGCATAGTCATAAGACGTTCTACTCTCTGTGACAATTAACGACCTTGCTGTGCTTTGTTTGGGTGGCACCAGCTGTTTACTAAGTGCTCGTCAGCTGTGGATAAAAGTCAATCACTGCAAACAGACTGATTGCACCTGCTACGCAAAGTGGCCTTTAGTGGGTATCAGCACATCAATAAACATGGCAGTTTAACATAGCAGAGGGTGTTTCAAGTGATGCTTACCAAAAATAAAGCTGATTGGCAATATACCGGTAGTCATCAGCACATCAGTAGTCTGAGTACGGTACCGGCCGTCAGCTTTTATTCTTCATACTTTACACTTATGACATGCTTTGTTATGGGAGGACGCGATGTTTATTGATGTTTGATACCCACAATACATGTAGGTTACGTGACTTAGTGGGCGCAGTCGGTTTATTGCAACTTCTGACAACACTCTAATGGATACTGCATGCATATGCAACATGATTTACTTCAGAATTTCCAGCAGTTTTAAATGACTACAAAACATGTACCTCAGAGTATGTGTAACTAGAAACATCTGCAGTACAAATACGGGATAGGCCATGCTCTCTCGCAGCGGCGGTGTCCACTGTACTCTTGTACACTGCAAAAATAGGATGGATAAAATGCGCACGGTTGATTCCTTACAGGCCTCTTATGCTTGGCGTCGCATTTCGGGCATCTGTGTTGGGAGCGTACATTTTCAATGAATATGCAAAAGTTTGAATTCACACTTGCACACATGTTTGGGAGATCTCAGTTGATTGTAAACTGTGAAGGAGTTTGTTTAAGGACAATCATCATACTGCAGCTTTCGGCGACAGTGATGTGCCCTCAGTATCAAAGATTACTGTGGAACTTTTCTTTATGTTTGTGTGCCAAGCTGCATCTCCTAGCAATAATATTCTCTCTAAACCCTAACAGGCAAGCATATTGTTTGGCTTACACTACACAGTACTACAAAATACTAAGTAATAGTCTGAGCCTGAAGGACCTAGTGCTACAAATTACTACTTCTGGCTTGGTTACTTTTATTGTTACTTGTACAGAGAACAATAAAGCCATGCATTCATAGTGCCTCAGCACTGAATGGTACATTGTCTTATCTACTGTATCTTATGGTTTCACAGAACAATAAAGTCATGTCCTCTTACAAGCGACAGTGCTCAGTACTACATTTTACTACAAGTAATAATTTGCAGAATAATGTAGGGTAAGGGTTAATTAAAGCACTCAGTAAATGTACGTCGTATCATTTGTCAGTTTTAATTTTGATTGATAGTATCATTGGTAATAGTTCATTGATGATAATTTGTTCTTCTACTTTATACTACATATGAGTATTGTCTGAGGGCTTGTAAAAACAGGTTACTCAGGGACTTGACAGCCCCGCAAGTTGGAAATGGTAGTCAAGAGTGATGTACTATATGTGTGAAAAGGCTGTGTGATCACGTGACCCTGGTGAACTTTGTTATGCAACTGTGCTGGGCTTGATCTGAGCACAATAAATGGCCACTGTGGTAAAACCATGCGTGTCTAAGCCAAGTGGGACTCTGGGCGCTGAAGTTACTGACAGCCTTCATACCTCGCCATGATTATAGAAGAATGCGGCCACAGTGACGATGCCTCCTAACAAGCTCCCTGAGAGATAGGAGGCCAGGAGGAACATGGTGCTCAAGAGCAACCCGTTCTCAGCAAAGATGGCGTTCACATAGAAGACAGCAATGTCGCCCATGCCTGGCCATTTCAAACAGAAAGAAAGACCCAGAAATTAAACACCAAAAAAACCCAAACCAGAACACCAAACTAAAGACAAACAAAAGGGCACGGCCACTTCCAACAGTTCATGTGGATGACAAGCACTTTAAAAACACTAAGGAACAACGAAAATCCTCTGTCACAAAAGACTGCTGCTTACTGTTCATCTAACCTTATAGGAAAGATGGTGTGCAAAGTAAAAGTTTACGCTCTTTGATGCTGCTTGAGTAATTCACGCCGTAATGGAAAGAGGAAAAACCTTGACTTTCAATTTTATGAGCGCTTAAGGACTGCCTCCTGACCTTCACAGTTGAGTACAGAGCTCAGCCCCCTGCCCCTGTTGACTGTGTAGCACTGTCTGGTCACTATGCCAAGCTTCTTGGTGATTCCATCATACAGCCTATAGCCTGCAGCAAGGGCAACCTGTCAGAAAAAAGGGGGGTGGAGCTAGGGTTAATGGAATAATGGGGGCACCACACCAAGTTTGGTTACTTTCCAAATGTTGAAAGCCTCCCCCCCAAAAAAAACCCTGTGAAGTAAAAGACTTTGAGCTACTCTGAGAGTTCTGTCCATGCACATGTAAATACCAAATTTCAACTAAATAATTATGCTCATGATATTCAAAACAATTAACACATTGGATTATCGCTATAAGAGATGTTAAATTTCCCTACTAAGAGTTAGAATGATGTGTAGTAGTCTTATCCACTTATCTGGGAAGGAAACTTTTTTCCAAATATGGGAACTTTGGAAACACTCGGTAATTATACACAGTGCATGAAGCCCCTGTGACGTTATTAGCCCACTTTTCGTCAAGTTACAAATGTACGTGTATTATGCTGAACGACATCTGACAACTTGGAAACCTGCCAGAACTACATGCATGAGTCTTGGCAAATATCACTTGTGACTCATCTATGTCTAAAATGTAAAAAAAGGTCAAGGAAGGGCCCATCCATCATGGTCACCAAATGTGCAGGGAATCACAAACTTCCTGCAGCAATCCCTAGCGCTCATGCTTTCTGGCTTTACCATGCAGTTAGAAGCAGGGAAATTGCCGGCCCCTTTCCTTACCTCAGGGTACAAGTTGAACCTCTTCAAGACGTTGATGGTGCTGGGGTACTCTGTAATGTTATCGTTCATAATCTCTTGCAGACCAGACAGGAAGGATGGCGAATTCACCATGGCCTTGTAGTATGAGTAATATAGACCCTGTGGATGGAAACAGTCAGCACCATTGGGCACAGTGGACATTACTTTTGACAACAATACAATCAATCTTTCTGGTAAAGTGAATTAAGTGGGAACCTTCAGGCAAAGAGCCAGGGATTTTTGGGCTCATTTTGAACAGATCTTCACTGCATTTTACCCATTTTCACCATGCAGCTTTATACATGTACACATGCAAGTGTTCCTGTTTGTGTCTCTTTCAAACCAGGATCTGCACAGTTGAACATGTCACCATCCTGATCATTTTTTATTCAGTATCCTCAGTTTGCTTTGAAAAATCCCCATCCTGTCACAATCTGCAACTATCCACCTCTTTCGGCTACGAACCCCGGGGTGAACCTGGGTTGAAAAGAGAACTCCACAGAGACTCTGCACATACACACCATAATGACGTCCCAGCAGTCAAACACGTATCACACTTGTTTTATCCTCCAATCCCATGGTGTACGGACAGCATGTCAACAATGCCATCTACATTTACCGGTATACAGTACACATTCAGTCAGCATCCATGTGCATTGTCTAAATGTACATGTGTGTAATGCATGAACTCAGTGCTCTGTGGATGACTCCTACACTAACGTCTTTACATGTACATTTAGTAACTTGGCAAACATGCATTTAAGTACCGGTACACGCTCATGCACATTCTGTGACTAACTTACAACTACATGTACATGTACGCACACGAAGCCTTATAAATGTGTTTTTGGTAGAGGTGATTCCTGCATCCTGGTTTAACACTGAACTGATTGTATGTGTAGTCTAGCAAAGTTTCGCAAATGACTTCAACATTTCCTGCTGCCTCCTGATGGATGGGGAAGCACTTCGGATTTTAACCGCACCCAAAGCACCCTATTTTTTTTCTAAGGGAAATAAGGACATCCGAGCTACTCATGTACATGTACGTGTGCCATATACATGTATGTTGAAAGAGCCCCTTAGTCTCAGTGCCTGTATTCTTGTTTTGTTTGTTCAAATACATGCATTCTATATGTAGGCCTATGTACGTGTCACAAAATGTAAAGATTGGAGTATATGGTTTTCATCCTTTGAAAGGTGGTTTACATGGTTTTCATTGATGAGAGAAAAATACTGTGGTTGACATTTTGACTGCATGTCACACTTTGTGGCCAAATATACACAGAACTAAGTACATTTTTGTTCAGTGGTTACTCCTGGCATGGCCACGACAAAGCAGTGTGTAAGACTGCCTAGTTGTGGCTGTCTCTGTTTACTCCAAAATTTACGCCTTTACAGACTGGCATCGATGCCGAAACTTTGTTCTCCTCACAAAAGGTGCAAAGTGTACCAGCACGTACAGGGCATGTTCATCACAGAGGGACTCCTTACTCCAAGAACGAAGGGCACCTACACCCTGGCATGAGGATACGTGTACACTGTTTTCTCTACAATAAGGTATGATCATCACACCAGTGACTTTCTACACTTGTGCACTACCATAATTTCTATCAACAATTAATGTAAGAGTTGCGGGGAATTAGGTTTAACACACCATACCATTTCGGTTCGGAATGTCATCTCTCGCTCTAGGTCTGACAGATGTGAGAAGAAGCGATCATTCTCAAACATGCTCGATATGTGTATGCTGGTAAAGAGAATAGACAGATAGATGATGGAGTATTGCATCACAAATGCGCATGCATGATTCCCTCTGACCACCAAGCCCCAAAAGTGAGGAACAAACATGTACATGTAATCACCCCCCCCCCAAAAAAAAATTCCGGGGCCATTGGTAACAAGCGGTACTGCAGAGTAGGAAAAATTGTGGTTAGACAAACCGGCTATTACCAATTTTTGATCAGACAACATGTATACCAAGGTCACATGAGAAAAAACTCACCTTCTCATCCAAGTTAAAAAAAATAGAGTTTGCTTTTGGGACTTTGACATTACATGTACATTTCCGTCAGACATTTTGTCCAACCACAACTGCTTTTGGTTGGACAAAAACAGAAGCGGGTGAAAAGTGTCCAACGCCCAACCGTACGGGTGTGTACGTGTGATTTTTACGCCATAGTACAATGTACATGTAGTACACGTAGAACTGGTCTGTCTTTGATGGTGAAAGAGGGTCATTTTATTATACCCAGCAAGAAATGAGACCGAGGGGTACCCCCCCAACATGTCCAATCCTTATACACATCCCAGACTATTTTTACTTAGCACATCCCCCCAAGATGTCTGAAAGGAATTCCCCAGATTCCTGCGAGACAATGACCAACACTCTCCGTCTCATACCTTGCTGCATATGCATTTTACGGAGGAAACATTTTGGAAATGTGTCAACAGCAACAAACAAAATTCCATTTCCTCATCCACTCAATATGCTGGATACAGGTAAATGTACATGTACATGCCACTGACTTACAAATGTAGGCCTGAAACTTGTTGCAAACTCCTCTTTCCCATGCTCCATTGCCATATAAATTGTTCATTCCTTGCACACAAGGGCAATGCATGTAATTAATCATGCAATTTACATGTAGGCATCTTGCTTTGTGTTCAATCCAATTGTATGTGCCAGAGCATAACAATGAAATTTTCAAGTCCTTCAAGTGCTCAAGACAGATGCAGGTGTTGTGCATGATCATAGGTGCAGCTGTTACATTAAACAAAATATTGACTTTCTGCTGCCAATTTGCCAAACTACATGTGCTTTTTCTCTCCCACAACTTACATGTACACCTCATTAGCTAATGGCCACACACACACACCAGTGTTGTATTGGAGATCTTGATGTCCGAGACCGAGACCAAGGCATTAGAGACTGAGACCAAGATCGAGACCCATTCGTTCAAGACCTAGACCAAAACTTAAAGACCGAGACTTTTGCAGGTCACGAACATTAAAAATTACTATTTTATACAAAGATAAGAGAGGAGAAGCAACATAAGATGATAGAATCATACTGAACATATAAAATAAAGAAATTAACATGCAACACATCATCAAACATAAATAGATTACTAGATTAATAAATATTCCTTTCAGACTTGACACTTTTTATTTTAACCCCTGTTAACTACAACGCAGTTGTGATGAGCTGCAGACTTTTGATATGTCAATACCATTAATTAGCAAGTGTACATGTATGGTTTAACTTGGTAGGAGCTCTTAATGGAAAAGTTGTACATTAAGACTCACTATGTTCAAAATCTCAGAAAAGGTAAAAAATGATGCCAGGTTCAAATTTTGGGTGGGAGACGAATTCTAGCTGGCCATTAAAAATTAGGCCAAATTAACTAAATAAGGCCTTAATGAGGGTAAACTTGCAACTTCTGAACTGTAGGTCCTACAACAATGGGGCCAAGACTAGATTGTTAGCCTCTTCAATACAAACAACTTTAGTGCAAAGCCCTTGGGATCAATTAAATAATTAGCTAATTAGTGATAATTGGGCAAACTTGTAACTTTTGGTCCATAGGTCCTAGAACAACGTGACCAAGACTAAACTGTAACTTCGCTCAATATAAACAACATTTCTATAAAATCCAAACTTCTTAGACCTCAAGATCAATTAGATAATTAGCTAATTAATGTTAATTTGTGCAAAATCATATCTTGTGAACCGTACGTCCAAGAACAATGGGATCAAGACTAAACTGTCACTCTGCTCAATATAAACAACATTTTTACAAAGTCCAAACTTCTCAGACCTCAGGATCAATTAGATAATTAGCTTACATGTATTAATGTTAATTAGGGCAAAAAATGTATCTTGTGAATTGTACGTCCTAGAGCGATGGGACCAAGACTAAAGTAGGCCTACCACTCTTTTCAGATAAGACGATTTTTGTGCACATTGCAAAAAGTCACATCTTGGGATTAATTAGATGATCCACTAATTAGTCTTAACTGGATGAAATGATAACTTCTAAACCGTATATACAATGTAGTAAGACAGTGGGGTAGAGACTGTCGATTGTCTTGATGAAATCCACTTCCATGTATGATGTAAAGTTTATTGAAACAAAGATTGATTACATGCTCAGATAATTACCCTATAATTCCATCTCCCTTTAATCAGTTAATCATATTAAAATGCAAGACTCACGCAGCGGAGTACATAAATGCTGTAGGTAATTCTCAGCCACAAAGTCTCCTTAGTGACAGCGACGTTTTGAGGCAGATTTAGCTTTCCTCACTGTCCACAGGATTGTCCTTTCGGCAGTCCCCTCGGCACTTACAAAATGGTAGACAAGATGTCACACGACAGTTGCAATTGTGCTGAGGACAGCTGTTTTGTTCTTTTCACCACATTGACATACTTTTGTTGTCAAAGTGTAGGGCTCATCCTTCCCAGGGACAAAGGTCTTGCTGGTCCATCGGGGCTGCAGCTCGCCAGCTTCAACCTCCCAGCCCCACTTCTCTTTTTCTGGCATTACTGGGCTTGATTGATGCACTCCCCCATAAATGACCAGCTACATTAGCCTCCATGGTCCTAAGCGATCTTGACATTTTATCTTCTCTCCCCATCGGCTGGCCATTATTGATATACCTCAAGTTCTTTGGGATATTGTCGGCTCTATTATTGCTACAAGCTTCTCAACATCAGACTTGAAATTCCTCTGGAATGCATCATAGCCTTCATGGTGTTGGTGGTAGCCAGCTGAGGGACAAGTGTTCTATTCGCTTCCACACTCCTGAGTGATCCTGACAAGCTCAGGTGCCAACACGTTCCATCGCATTGCCATCATCGTTTTTATTAAGTCGATCAAGTCCTCCATGCACAGACTTTACTGCAGCATTGTTCTGCTTGTGCACCTTATTAAAGGACATTGACGAATTCAAGCAATTTAACTTGTTACCATAAAGTCCCCCTGCAGAAACTCATCAATACTGATGGCGATGTCTACTCAAGTCGGAGTACATCTTGAATGTGTACAGGTAGCCACTGACTATAGTTGCAGTGGTTAGTGATGAAGATGAATGGCATTAAACCCTGCAACTTGGTGAAGCAGGAAGTCCTGCTGTCTTTGGGAACTACATGTAATGAGCAGGAAGCAAAGTTTCTCAGAGTACAGTACAAAATTCCAGCACTGTGTCAAGAAGTTACAAGTTTGCCCAATTATCACTAATTAGCTAATTATTTAATTAATCCCAAGGTCTGAGAAGTTTGGACTGTGCACAAAAGTTGTTCGTATTGAAGAGGCTAACAATCTAGTCTTGGTCCCATTGTTCTAGGACCTACAAGTCAGAAGTTACAAGTTTACCCTAATTAAAGTCTATATTAGTTAATTAGGCCTAATTAATGGCCAGTTGGAATTTGTCTCCTGTCCAAGATTTGATCCTGACATCATTCTTGACCTTTTCTGGGATTCTGAACATAGTGCGTCTTAATGCACGACAATGCGCTTTTTTGACGCTAAGAGCTCCTTAACTATAACTATGGGCTCCCAAGCCTATTTTCATTTAAATTCAACTAGGATGTAGGTATTTATACATTTCATACAAACCTATTGGGCAGGATGTGTAAAATACCAACTGATCCTTAAGTTATTGCTGAATGTCTGAGTTAACCAGTGATACATGTACATGTGCTTTAATGATGACTGGACTGGTTAGAAAGGTCAGTTAGCAGAAAAGAATTACCCACTGGTATGGTATTTCCCTATTGAATGTATGAAGTTGTCACTTTCAACTTGAGTGAACCCTCTGAAACTTTTTTTTGTAAACAAAATACTAAGAAAAAATAAATATCCCAATAATATCTTGATTTATTGAGATAGCAAATGAGGGAAAGAAAACTAAACTGGCATTAAGTTTGACACACTTTCCAAATCTAAATGCAATTAAAAAGACACATATAAGAGGTTCTCGTTGTATTTAACATTAGAGTCTCAAGGATTTTAGCTGAAACTCTGGCACAGTGGGGATGCATTATAATTCTGTCTGTGCTAAACACAGCATGCACCATGCACACTCAACCCTGGTGCAGATAAGACTGACGCTTCCATGTTGCTAGTAAAGTGAGGGATACTTTATGTGGTGCTACTGCTAAAACTTTTTGGGAATTTTTTTAAATGAGTCCTACTGCCAGAACTCATTTTACTTAACAGCGTCGCATGAGTGCATTTCTCTGAAATTGTCTTAGTGCAAAACATGCCTTCTGTACAGTGTTTCCTGTCGTCTTTTTTGCTACCATCATTCCCTGTACTTCCTGTAACCAAACCACTACTGCCAATTCATATATGCCAATTCATATGACGTGGCATTTGAAGTTTTTGAAGCTGATGATATCGCAAAAGGCAGGTAAGCATGATGTCGCAAATAACGTACATGTAACAGCATGTACTAGTAGCAAACATGTACATGTATGAATGAACGCATGCGGCAAGTCACATGCATAGTATGTACATACAACATATTGTACACAAACACATGCACAATTCGGCGATGTGTGCCAGTGAAATAAATGGCATACATGTACAGCGTACAATGTACTGCTGCATTGACCAGTCTCCATTCAAGCATCGATTTCATTCTTTATTATGAAAACTTGGACATTGTGGTGTTGTACTGACATTCATGTTTGGAAACTAGACTCGTGCGGAGGTCAGCTGGCAGTGCGTTTATGAGTGGTAGCTAGGTTCACATTTTGTTGTGGTTTCGACAGGTTTCGAAGGGGAGACTGGAGACTTTGACATCCAAGACTGAGACCAGCACTTTCAAGACCGAGACCAACCCTCCCAAGACCGAGACTTCGATAGGATGAGACCAAGACAGAGACCACCGAAAAAGGTCTCGAGATGGTCTCAAGACTGACACCAGGTCTCGAGACCTACAACTCTGACACATTCATGTACCATGTGTAAAGTAAAAGCAGGTTTTCGGGAAACTGTACAGAGTAAATGTAGCCCTCAAATAAAGTTCTGCACGCTGAATTCATAGAATTAGATGAATGCAATTTTTTAACCCTTTCAATATTTCTGAACAGTTTAGTCGCAGCTGAATTTCACTCAGTATGCATGCAATCATACAAGTCACCATGCAAAAAGCAAGAAAAAAATGAAAGTTAGTCTTACCTGTGAAGTATTCCAAAAACCGAAGCTGTTGAAAAATCAGGGAAATACATTTGATTGAGATCTAGATGTATACTGACGGTAACAGACCTCAAACATTTTGAACTTAAATTTAACTCAGAACGCATAGTCTACATACATGTACATATCCATCTCTTTGCACATGGCAGGAAAAATTCCATGCTCAGTGGCCACTTTGTTTACATTTTTAAACCCCAACAGTTTTAAAAGGGGATGAAAATATTTTGGGGTACTAGAGATTTGAAAGGGGGTGTACGGGAGGACAGGTTCAAATGATGGGGCTCCTTCCCATTTCACTTAAAAAAGGAGAGTTCCACGTACAGGCATCACTTACATGTCACATCCAGGGCACAATGTGGTTTGAAAAATTCGAAGCGTTTTTTCAATAATGCTTTAATATTTTCTCTACTAAATTTGCATCTTTAGTTTAGGCATTGTTAAATGTTAGGACATAATATTATCCCTTTTGGGAAAAATAATCATACGGATGCAACTTAAAGACTTTGGCACTTGAAGCTCTGTGCACAAACCCTGGGAGACTGGTCTGAAAAATTCACAAGTGTTTTCTAAGTGAGTAGGGCCCACACGTATCTACATATTTTTACAGGTAAATACTAAATTTGACTTTTTAGAACGTTTATAGGGCCTGTTACGCTAACATGCATGGCTGATAAGGCCTAGGCCCCCCTACGGCCATAGCTTAGGCAAAAAAAACAGTGGCAAGTATATCACGTCCGTACACGCCTAGGTCCCAGCAGGCTACAGCTTGTAATTTGTATAGGGGCCTAGGCCTAGGCCCATGTGGAATTCAGAATTCTTTCTCATTTTTTTGCGCACTGCTAAGAGACAAAGTAAGAGCATTAGGGAAAAACTTAAATCGGCATGAAGCCTCAAAGGGCTCTTCATCTGACAATGGAGGAAGGCCATGATCTGACGTCCGCCCCTCCACTCACGTCACGACACACAGGCCTAGCCTACCACCATACCAGCATACAGTGACTAGCGCGGGCAGCGACTCACCCATTACCACAGCACCGAACACTACACTTTTTGGCAACGATTTAAGGTGTGCAGAAAGGCTGCCATTTCTGTGATCGTTTTCCCGCGCTGATGTGGATTTAGACTTCGCAGACGGACGATCACTTCTTGTATCCATGAACGTTGTCGTCTGCTTTTTGGGTTTTCTACTCTTCACCGCCATCTTGACAATCAGCAGTCCACGTACACGACACGCGGCAACTTAACTTGACATACAAATGTGTACATGTATGCTTGTTGCGAACACGGTACGCGTACGGCGGGCGGACGGACGTACACATGTACATTTACGTACGTACGTCGACGTGACACGGGTGCGATGAGATGTTGGACACACTACAGGTACTGTTGACATCATGACGTCAAAGGTCAAAAAGTTCCTTGGTTGTCATTACCCAATGGGGGTGGCCCAGAAATTGAACAATTCAGACAACAGTATTGAACTTAAAGTATCTGTAAAAATCGGATAGCTAATGAAAAAGTGTCATACTTAAGTGTATTTTTAAAAATCGCAACAATTTATTTGAAACCAAACTGCTGTGTTGTGCATAATTGAGACGTGCCCTTACCGAACACTAAAATCGATCATTCCATTCGACTTACTCCACACGTTTGTTATTTAAATTGTGCATCCTTATTTGGTAGACTGTAATCGATGCTCGTGTTCATAGCAACTCAAGTTGTTGTCACCGTACCAGCTGCTCGCGAGCTCCATGTGAAGGTTGGAAGAGTACCATCTGGAACTTCTAGTTCTACTGACTTTTTTACGCGGCTTCACTGATTTTTAAATCAGTCAGTGCATGCAGTGCAATAGCGTTACAAATACAAGACCTGGATGAAACTCTCCAATGTTTTGTTCTGCTTTATCATAGAATTTAGAAACTGTGACTATATCTTCAAAAACCGCTTTTGAATTAAGAGCCTACAACTAGCCGAGTTGGAAAATGGTGGATACTGCAGTCAGACCTCGTCCTGTGGGCGATTTACGGTTGCATATGCAAACAGACACAAATGCCGGACCCAATAGTATCCAGCAGGTTGTGCTGAATCGGCGCCAGCGACAGATGAAATTCCCCCATCTACGGGGTCGCTGGGATGTGGACAGCTTTCAGTGGAAATCCAGCCCGAATTTAGTGAAGTACCACGACGACACGCTGGCCCCGCTACGAGACAACGTCCCCATCATCGACCCCGTCTCGGGGTTCGTCTCTGCCGCCACGGACGTGGACCGCAACACCGGTGTGGACCGTATGCCGTCCATGCAGCAGGTGGACAATACCCCGAACACCGTGACACCGCTATCCCCTCGCCCGACGACCACCAAAGCCCACAGGGAGAAGGAAAAGGAGAAAGACAGGGGAACCTTCGTGCCGAAGAAACCTGTCACCCCGCAGTTCTCCAGGGCGAGGTCAAACCCTGAAATGAGACTGGTGAAAAGCGAGTCGGATGTGACACACATTTTGAATGATCCAGGGACATGGGCTGGCAGGAAAATTAGTGATGGCTTCATCAGAGCAAAGTTGGGAGGTTAATACTGGAATATTTGTTATTTTGCTTAAGCAGCGGCTCACTAATTAGTACCTCCATGGTACATGTACATGTATGTATCTGGCACTGCATCAATCTACATACAGTACTAGTCCCCTCGTTTTAGTGCCTGCCGTTGGTAGCAATAATGTGCATGTATCAATCTTAATATTGTTTGGAAATAATTATGTTATGATATCAATAGTTTACTTTTCATTTTGGCAGCAGTTGAAAAGATTTGCATGGTTTCAGGATAAGATTACTGTGTGCATTGTTCATGTGCATGTATCTGCATCACGGAAATGCAAACCTAGGTTCAGTTGTCAATTGGTAGTAACTTTTTTCTCCTTTTTTTCCCACTTCCCCAAAGTTTTTCAAGTTCTGCTTTTCAGCAAAATGTAATGTCACTTCTTGGCTGTTTACAGCTTTGGAGGCTCTCATTCGAAGAGAATTTAAATCCAAGAACCGACTCCAAACAACTGACGCATGCTTGTGTCACTGCCGGTGCTGAGCTTTGCAAAACTGGGACATGGTACTGGATATGGAGCACCTGACAGGCTTTTCTTTTTGTAGGATTTGTCATTTGAAAATCTTACAGACAGTGCTAACGTGTACTTCATACCTCATAATCCCAAACAATAACCATTCCTGGGAAACACACATGAAAAAGACAAAAGAAAAGGGCAAGGGAATCAGACTGTGATTCACATAACTTCCTACTTTTTGACATAATTAATTCTTGTGATTGGTACACCAAATGCGAGGTAGGCCTACAGAAAAAGTGGTGCACAAGAAACTGTATAGTTGAATCTTTAGAAAGGGTCCTTTGGACTTTGCAGATTACCTGGTTATAACAGAAACCAGGGATGGAAACAGGAAAAGATTGTTATGTTTCCTTGTTGTAAGCAGGATGTTTTATTATTTGTGCATTTATTGATGAAGTTTGACTAAACTGGGGAGCAGGCAGTAGGGAATAGTAAAACTCAGACTGATCTGAGTTTTGATTTAACTCATATTTCACCAGTTCATACTTAAGCTTGAGAGATATCTGTGCGATAGTTATTTACGTTGATGAGCTACTGACATTACTTTTCTGGTTACAATCTGCAGGGTGGACAAGCTCCGTGGACCCAAGAGATGCTGCAAAGGAACAAGAAAGGATTTGGAGGCAAATTCACGCTCGTAACATCAAGGGACAGATGGATGTAAGACCTTGCACATAGTGCAGTTTGGATTGTTGAAATTAAAAGACTGCTTTCATTTTCACACTTTCAGTCCTCTGGAAATTCTAGCCGTCTGGTTTTAGCTGCTTAAGCTCAGCAAAGCATCACTTGGATATTTTTCCGGTTGTTAATCTTCGGGGAAAAATATTCATAAAATGCTCCATATGCATTGTACAATTTTGCAGGCTGTGGATAAATCTCCCAACTGGCGGGACGAAGCTGCTCTGAGGTACATTTACACATCTGCAGCCCAAAGGTGAGCTAGGCTGTACTACCTTGATTGTCACTTTTGACTTTTGACAGGGAACTGTTACTGAGAGCATCAAACTTAATTTGTTCCCGACTTGGTGCTGGTACAGAAAAATCGGAAATGAGAGACCGCCTCTGGCCATACTGTCCTTGCCTAGTTGTCATTGCTTGTTGTAGAGTGTAATAGGGTCTGCTCTTTTGCATTCACATTTTGCTGTCACATAAAAACCTAAAGACAGCTGTTGTCGTATGCTGTCTGGTGGATATAGGGTAAACTTAACGCATACATTGTGTTGTGCAGAACCTCCGAGGATGTGGATTGGGACAGCAAGTTGCCTCCTAAGATCTTGCCTCCGGCCTCCACCATGGAAGCCCAAGCTGACCCTGTATCTCAGTGCTTCACCAACATGAAGAGATACGACCCAAAGGCTCAGCCCTGGCAGGTGAGGACATAATATACGGTACACCCTCAAAACTAGATACAATGTATGTACATGTTGTATAATGGAGTTCATCACAAGTGACTCGCTTGTCAAAATAACACATGTAACCGGGCCACAACCCCAGCTTGATGTACCCCCCTCTCCCCCACTGGCCATTGGAGAGCTGGGTCATTTCCTCTGAGCACTTGGCACACATGTAGTCTGTATATTCTGACATACACAGTAAACTGGTAATGTGCATTCAGCATGTCCAAACAGTTCTGCACCCACGGTAGTGCTAGTTGTGGGGACATACATTCGACATTTCACCTATTTTGTGGGGACCGAAAACATTGTTTGGGAAAACTTTTTACATGTACCTAGCATGTACCGAGTTTTAGTATGTTCTGCTCAGTTGATGTCACTGTCGTGTTCTTCCAAGTGGCTGCTAAAAATATAGTTGGCTGTGGCAACAAATGTAAAGGAATACTTTATGAAGTGTGAAATATCTTATGCAGCTACAGTATTAGAATAACAGAAAATGAAAATACAACTCAGTTTAAAATTAATAGAACAAATATTCGATATGAGTGAATTTGAGGTAAAATTGAAAACCAATGAAAAAGTGATATTTCTGCCAACTTAATGTGGCCGCCCATAAAAGTTGTAGGCAACACGAGAGTGGTCCATTGTGCTAATTATATTTGCCACAAGTGAGATGAAAATGTGGTCTGAACTTACACTGCCAAGTGGGTGGAAGAGTTGTTAACCAGTTGCTTTTACCTAACCACCAAAAATCGAATCACAGTGCAGTTCATTATTCAAATAGGAAGGCAAGAGCTTGTGCATTTATGTCTGGAACGGAAAAGCAAAGCCATTTGTTTAGTGTTGACTACTGTGTGCTTAAGCTGAGGGACCTCAGAAGTATTTTTGTAATAATTCAAGGTGTATTTAATTACATGTAATTGATGTATATTGTATTCTTAGCCAAGATTTATGCTTTTTGCCCCATAGAATCTTGGGAGATCCTGGGATTGGTTCCAGACAAGAGATGGACACCACATACGAGGGCCGATTGAATTGTAAGTCAACTAAAAGACTCAGTGTACACATTTTCATATCTGCTCTGCTAATACTATTTGTTTCTTTACAAGAAACCATTACGGCCAAAGGGATGCATTTCATGAACGATTAACAAACTGCCTTGTCGAAGAATGTGCATTGTTATTCCACTGGCCAGACCCAATCCCATAATCTTAGGTATAAGCCTAATTTTAATCAAGGGGAAGGCTTCCGCCCTTACACCAACCTACATTGATAACACTGTGTGCTCATCAGATGAGTCAGAGAACTCATGAACACCGACCTACATTGATAACACTGTGTGCTCATCAGATGAGTCAGAGAACTCATGAACACCGACCTACATTGATAACACTGTGTGCTCATCAGATGAGTCAGAGAACTCATGAACACCGACCTACATTGATAACACTGTGTGCTCATCAGATGAGTCAGAGAACTCATGAACACCGACCTACATTGATAACACTGATTTCAAATTCTGCATTCTTGTATCCATAGCTGTAGCCCTCATAGGAAGAACAACCAAATTCCCAACTATACTGGCAGCATAGGAGGGGAAGGAGAAAGAGACGACCCTCACAAGTTCTTCATACCGACCACTGTACTACGAAGTCTGGTTCCTAAATACACTGACACTGCCAGGTATGGCTCCGGAAAAAGCAGTGTCTCCTTTGCTTTATTCTGTAACAGCATTTAGTTGTGCTATGCGGATGATTTTTCTATCCTTGGGATTGTAGACATGCATGCTTATAAGAGACTGAAGGGCTTCAGATATCCACTTGACTATTTGACCAAGTCTAGCCGTATGATTGAATGAGACTGGTGATCAAGTATTGTTTTATTTATATTTTTCATTTGTTTGTTTCTTTGATTTTTTAAAAAACTTGTTGTCCTGATTCCTGATTGATATTTTCAATCCAGGGTTTTTTTTAACATCTGTCTCAAAAATGAAGTTTTCATCTTAATAACAGCATTTTCTGTATCCTGCTTATCCATACAGCAATGGGAAAGTAAATGCAAATCACTTTATAACAAGCTTTTCAAGTGAACAGCTTTTTCAATTAAAATGAAAATTTCCCCTGATGAGTTTTGGCAGTGACTAAGTTACAAACACCTACTTGAAGCTTGATGACCGGAGTGCATACTGAACAAACCTTGGACACAAGACCCCCCCCCGCTGTAATGTGTCTCCACGTTTCTCCTTTTTTGGTATGCAGACGTGCTAACATCCCAGGTTACACCGGATGCACTCACTGGATAGGCACCGAATCAGCCAATCTGAATGTAGGCATTCCACAGCCGCAGACCACTGCGCGAGTCCACAGGTATGTCACTTGGCATAGAACATTGTACTATGGAGAGCCAATGTGAACTGTTGTCAGTTGCCAATTAAGGTAATGGTTCTACTCGAAAGTTACTCAACCTTGTCCCCATTCTTTTATGATAGAATTTTAACCTGACTAGTAAATGTGTAGAACCAAAACCACGGTTACGGACATTACACCTCAGTACTTCTCTAAAGACAATTACATGAAGGTGCATCAATACACTATGTACATGTGTGTGAGTGCCAAACATGTATGTGCTTTAATTGATGTTTCACAGGCTGGGATATACACTTTCTGTTCTGTGTAATTATACCATAACTAGTCATTTTAGTTCAAAAAGTACAGTTCACGGTAACTCCTGAAATGAAATCACCCCGATGTGTTGCTGTACAGATTCAATTCAGTGAATAGTTTGGTTTTTCTTTGGGTACATTTGTGCAGGAGTTTGCCAGCAGACCTGAACATGTCACCGCACAAGCGCACTTCTCGGATGTCGCGAATGATCACACTGGTGCCTCCAGGAAACCCCTTCAACGCCATCAGTAAAGAGGAGAGAACGCTAGAGCAGTATCACTGAATTTCAGCACGTTGACATCATACAATTTGACAATCAATTGAGTCTTACCCATTAAGGATGATGAGGGAGGAATGCCTGTGACAATGAAGTTTAGTGTTGGGATCAAGCATTGTGGTGTGAAGTAGGGAGTGAACTGAACAGAATGCGAGAAGGAGAATTCGAACTGAGAATGAATTCTGAAAGTTGTGAATGGGATGATGATAATTAGTCATGCTGAGCCATCAAAAATCAATTCATCTAGTCATTTCAAGTTAATCTGTATTTATCTAGCCACAAATCATCCAGTCTCAAGTCATCACATAAGCTACTGAAATGAATTGTCATATAGTCAATCTTTTTCTGTCCTTCATGCCTTTTTTCCTGACTTTTCTTGCTGTTAACATGAGATTCACGAATAGAATACATGCATTTCTGGGTGATGGTGAGAGTAATATCCACTTTGAGCAGAAAAAGCCCTGGACGGTTGAAAAGATCCACGATCCTCTCTTGGTCCCCGGTTTGGATGGATTACAGTGTAGAAAGATGGTTGATACTCCCGTTCTATCTTGTTTTTTAAATTCAAGGCCAAAAGCATAATAAATGACGATAATCTTTAATTAAAGTCCGACCACAGTGTGGATCAAGTGTGTCACACGTGTGATATGAGACAATGAGTGATGACGACGAACAGACTGGGGGAGAAATGGAGTGACTAGCTTCACAATGACTAAAACTAGAGCATGTACGCATGTTTCTTTTGAGGTGGTTACTCCAAATTGTGTAAACGGACTTTTGGCACTTTCATCCATAAATTTGAATTGGGCAAAGTCTAGCAAATATGGACTCCTCTTGTATCATTCCGTTTCCTGCTGTTCTCTTTGGAAAGAAATCACGTCCAGATTTGTCTCACAAGTAGTGTTTTTGATGGCCGCAATCATGAGCATTTTGGCACTGGTTTTGATAGTGCTTTGAAACAACTATGGCTATAAAATGCCCATGCATGACTAAACTCGAGCGCTACAGAACAGTTTTGATAATGAAGATGGTGATATTTTTGAATGGGAAGTCATTTTTGGCACTGCTAACAGCTTTTCGAGTATGTTTAAACATATGTGGGCATGGATCCGGGGGGGGTGGCAAATTCCCCTGCTCTGAGATAAAAAAGAAAAACATTGGGAAAATAAAAACATGTAAAATAAGTGCAATTGTAAACAATATATGTCAAATATGTTTCATCATTTCTGCTTGTCCATGAAAAGGAGAACCCCCCCTTGAAAAAATTCCTGGATCCGCCCCTGATATGATAGCAGGACTGGCTTAACACAATGACTTCCTGATGTTGAATGTTGATGTTGCTCCGAGTGATAATGATGATGGTGATTATAAAGGTATGACCTGGCCATGCGTGTGCAGTGCTGACTAAGATGATTTGGGGTAGATGATAATGATGGCAAGATTTATTACTGTGATTCTGGTGATAGTAGGCTACTTTTGAGAATTATTCATGTGCCTTGAATGGATGCTGAGCTGCGTTTAAATTTGAGTGTCTCCAGGGCATTGACAGCAGAAAAAAAGTGGGGTGCTATATGGGACACCATCAGGTATCGGCCATTAACAGACCATAAGTCCTGCGCCAGTGTAGGACCTGCCAAAAGTGGTGGGGAGGGGCATGCCCCAGTCAAAAACCTGAGTGGGACCAACTGGCCTCCCTGGCCCCCATCTGCAGTCAGTGTGACCTCTTAGTGGAAAGCTGCTTTCATAAATTCAATCCAAAGGGGAAAATTATATAGTCAAACAGAATGTCAGATTGTTAAAAGAATGAATTGTTGTGATGCATGTGGTCAAAATTATTCTGTGTGAGAGAGTTCCATGGAAGCATGAGAATACGTACGTGAGTGATACCTGGGCATGTCATCAGACATGTTTTTTTTTCATGCATTATGGTTATGTGGAACTTGGGGTATTTTTGCAGTGTCATATATACACCTAGTTATAGCACACACAGCTTAAAGATATTGCCAGTTGAGTTTGATTTGGCTTGATGTATTTGTTCTGTGGTTGCAGAGACAAACATTTGTCATTACACCAATTTTGTGGGGACCAGAAACATTTTAGGGAGAGAGCAATGTCTCTTTAGTCCTAATTTGCCCTTAGAGGAGACGTGACCTGCCCATACACCTATACATGTATAGTACAACAAAGGTAATGGGCATCTGACTGTTAACAGCAATCTGTTGTCTTTTAAGATATTGACTTGATATTGTTGGAAAGTTTAAAACTTTCATATATGACCAAGTGAGCAAAGCTCATGCATCAAGAATTTAAGATGAAGATGACTAGGTTCGTGTACATTTATGAACTACATAGGATCTGCAGCCCCTCCACTAAAAGTATGCAAAATGTTTATTCAGATTTTATTTTGATGTCAGAGTATTGTACTTGAAATTTCACGAAAGACATCGCTTACCTTGCGTTCAGATTTTTATCTGTCCCCTTCCTGGATCATGCACGGAGTTACGTACCAAAGTTTAGCTATTTATTTTTAAAAATATTTTTACAAATACGACAGGTAATTATAGTGTGGTTTTAAAGGAAATCATGAAAGAGTATTTCAGTTTCTTTTTAATGCAAGATTTCTAGTGCACATGTACTGTTTTATATTATTGGATGGTATATGCTTCTATGCATGATGGCTTTCTGATAGGAAGGAAAAAATGTATCGGGAAAAAAATGCATCTTGTCTTGTTCTTTGTGTGAGAAACATGTATTTAACCCCCCAAACCACTCACTCGCGGAAAAACTTTCTATAACCATTATCGTGGGATATTGGATCTCAAAACTTAAATTGTTTTCAAGTTCCCATGCAAACAATAGGTTGGAATCAAGGATGCATCTTAACTTTTTTGGGAGGGGGATTTTTTTAGTGGGCCAAACATTTAGCATAAGGTTTAATGTTATCTGTGGCCTTTCTGGGGCTGAGACTACATTTTGGGGCCTTCTTACACACTTTTAGACTGAAGAAAGAGGGAACAGTTCTCCAAATCCCTACATTATACCTTAAATATTGCCACTTTATGGGGGGGATGACACCCATTACCCCCCCATCCGCCCTTTGGTGGCAATAGCTGTAAAGGGGAAAATCCGGAAGTGTAAAAATGTTTTCACTCTTGCAGCTTATCTGCCAACACGTTCCAAAAGTTCAGAATTTTGGCCTCGCCAGAAGTCTTCGTGCATTTCTTTGTGTGAATACAGTGTACATACAAATTTTCGCTTCAGGGGCAACAATCTGCATCAGAGATGTATTGTTGATGTATGCAGTTTAACCTTTTTCCTCTAGTGCCTTTTTTAATCAGAGCAATATAAAAAAAGTGGAATTTCATCAAGATCTTGATATTCTCGTTCATAAATTTTATTTGAGACTGTTTTTTCTGATTTTTTCGAGGTGCAAAATAACCTCTTCACATTCGTAAGAAACATTTACTTTTTGTTGGGTACATGTATGTGAGTGGAGCTTACAATAATTTGGTAAAATTATTGGAGTCTGAATAAATTGTAACAAAAATAACACCACGCTAGGGAACGCTCACTCGGCTGATGTAAAATTTCCCAACCAAAATTGGCAGTAAGTGATTGGACGATGAAGTTTGGACTCGTCCATTTCCTGATAGATTCGGCCTGGAACCTGTACTAGTGCAACGCGGCATATGGTCAAACTGATTTTTATAGTCACGTAGCGCCAGACTATTTGTGCAGATCAACAAGCATCGTCTGCGTTTTTCTGCGATGACGAACTTGCCAAATGTCGACGGCACATACGTGCCCGCGGGCAATTTGGCTCAACATCATGAACATTGAGCTTTTCCATTAAACTTGGCATGGCAGAAAAATACTGACATGGATCCCTGGAGTGCCATCAATGCAGACGAGGTAAGTTGGCGAATATCCGCCATGTCCGTAGGCCACACGTACTCTGCTAGCTCGCAGGGATAGACCTAAATCGAATACTGAATAGATTGGAGTGCTTGTTTTAGGGAAAGAAAGAGCTGCATTTTCCCAAAGTTCTAGTACCCCAAATTTCATAATATTACTGGTAGGTATAGTGCTGACTTCTTCACTACTTCTACTAGGGCCTAGCTCTACTAAGCCAAAGTGAAACGTCATCAAGCTTTCAACAAACTTAGTCCCCCAAAATGTTGAAGTTACACTTAGCCTTCAAGGCCTTAGGCCTAGACTATCTAGCCTAAGTGGATCCTTGAAACACCTGATCGCATCATGTAATGAAGACCAGCGTCAAACCTCAGCCAACCTAGGCCTTACTGCCCACCTAGGCTACCTGTTACAAAATTCTTACGAAATTTCATTTTCTGATTTTGCCTAATTTGATTTTTTTTCGAGGTGCACAACCAGGCCTAGACCTAAGCCTAGGGTACCCAAAAATCTGCCCCCCCCCCGTAACAGCTGGCCGACCTGCCTTGCTTGGGCCACCAGTAACTTGTAACAGTTCTAACTGGAAGTTCGATGAAATTTAGTACCTACATTCCACTTTTATGACACTGAAAAAGTTCACAAAAGTTCACCAGCCCTGACTTATGTACAGCATCTGTGTTTAACTGAATTGAAGTTTAGAAAGAGTTCCATATAGTGTTATACAGACGCCACTTGACACCCCGTGCACAAACCAATGAGACTGGTCCGAAAAATTTCAAATGTTTTCTAAGTAAACAACTTGGGTTTTTTCTTCCTAAATTGAACTCTTCTGGACATGTTTTTGCTTTCTGAAGGCTAATAGATCACTGTAGGGAATAATTACTGACGTCCATATATGGAACTTTTCCCTAAACTTTTTCAACAAAAGGCAACAAAGAAGTTTGGCAACATATACTTGCCCAAGATACCTCATTAAACAAATTGACGATGTATAATAGGCCTAAATAAGAGTTCGCTCACTCAGTATCCCAAAACTCCAACCCAAAATTGTACGCCTTCTTTGCTAAAAACCTTGCAGCTGCGCATTGGATTTTAGATGTATCCATTTGGTCCTGGTTGAATATGAATCGTGTTGTATAAGGCTACTATTTTGAAATAGGCCTAATGTGAACAGGTGTTCATGCACACTTAAAAAATTGACAGTATAAAAATTGTACTGTACAGGTGAAAGAGCTGTCTTGGGTCCAGTGTGAGAATGAGACTTGTCTGAAATGGAGAAGGATTGCTCGAGAGGAAGTTGGAAAACTAGGAGAAGAGCCTTGGTTCTGTCATATGAATGCAGATAATGCACACAACAAGTGAGGCCAAGAGAAAAGGCAGCCCACTTAATTTGTTAACATAGCTTCCTTTACTCTTCATGTTTCCTTTTGAATTATTTTGCAAACACGATTTGATTTTTTATATCTCTTCTGAGAAACTTTATCATTATAAATGCATGTTTAAAATCTGTTAGATGATGCAAACGTTTTTTGGAAATGCTTTATTTTGTCCCAAAATGAACTTAAATACTGCTCACCGATGACACAAGGAAATTGTCAACTTTCTCCTCAGTTGCCAACAATTTGACTTTCAATTCAGGTGTGCAGATCCTGAAGAAGATCATAGGAAGACCATACACACAGCCAACAAGTATGGCTATCGCTACATCTTCAGCCAACTGCCTCAGGGTTCCTTGGTCTGGGCTAAGATGACTGGACATGTTTCGTCAGTAATTTTTTCTGTTTTTCAGATATGGTTATTAAATACTTTTGGTTGAAAAAAAATGAATATTTTAAAATTAAAATGACAGATTAGCTTCTGACAGATTGATCAAGTTAAGGCATCAAATACAAACAGTTTATTCATAAATTTACTTGTGATGTGCTAGCTAACTTTTTAAATCAAATTTGGTAGCATGAGCCTTTCTGCGTACTTGTTGGTACTATAGTGTTACACAGCTAATAAATAACAAAAGATAAAAAAGATTTTTAGACAAGATTTTTTATCCTTTTAGCAAAAAGATAAATTTAGAGCACTGATTGTATATATCTTTGTCAATATAATGAATAACAATTATGGGTGCTTTCTGATTTATCATATTGGATAAATTTTCTAAATTGATAATTCAACTCAATTCATGGGGCATTCACAGTATCTGACAAACAGCTCTTCTGAACAATATACCTTCTTGATTCTCTGGAGAATTCCAAAGGATAAAATAGTGGTTGGTTAGTTTGGAGCTGGAATTAACCTGTTTGAAGTGTGGCAGACACAATTGGAGGGCGCCATTCGAAGTGGGTAAATAAGTTTTGAGAAAACACAAAGATTTTACCTAAACCAAATAATGGGCTGCAACTACCATTTCTTGAATTACTTCTTTTCATCTGTTTTTTTATATCAGATGGCCGGCTATCCTGTCTCCAGACCCTGCTGACGGAAGATACACCATGATCAACGATGAGACAGGGACTCCATCACATTATCATGTTGAGTTTCTAGGACATCCTCACTCCCATTGCTGGGTGCTCAGTAGCAATGTGGACATCTATGGCAGCTCATCGTCTTCTCAACCACAGGTGTGAAGCAAAGAAATTCTGCCTTCTTCCTGTTAATTGCCTCTTTTCAGAATGTGTCAATTTGCAAACTTAAAAAAAGTTGTTGTCAACCACATTTGAGGTATATTTTACTATATAAGGTAATTGTGCATGTATTGATGACACGAAGAAATCTGCCTTTTCTTGAAGATTTTAAGTTATTATTTTACTGTTTAGAGCCTAGTTATGGTTGACATTTTTCTTACCATCGTCCAGCTGGTCATGGAGCAAACTGGTGTTTTTCTCTCTAGAAACCCAAACACTGCAAAAAGTCTTTGGGTGTCTCTGCCGGATGCCACACTGCACAAAAAGTTAACCTCTACACCAAGAACCTCCGAGAATCCATTCAGGAGGCTGAGCCCTTGAGGGCATTAACTTGTGAGCAGAGGCTTGCCAAATGTGTGTACATTACCCAGACAGGTAGACAGCAACCAGATAATAATTTCCTTCTCTTTTGGGGATTAATGAGCCATTTGCGAGTTAAATTTGAATAAAATCTGGTACACTGAATTATTTGATTGCACATAAACATAACAATTTTAATTCCCCAGACTAAAGACACTGTTGCTATACCTTGTGGTTCGGGACAAGCTTTCGCATACATGTAGCTATCAACATCTCTGGAATGGACAGGTACCTTTGTGCCCTTCTTATCCATTGGGAATAGTGTATTGTTGCAAGGCGCCTCTTATGTAACTAAGCAAAAGCTTAGGTATAGCGAGGTATAGCAAAAGTGTTTTTAGTATGGAGAATTCAAATGGTTATGTTCATGTGAATTTAAAGAACTCAGTGTATCAGATTTTATTCAAAGGGTACTCGCAAAAGGCTTATTAGAACTGGGTCTGTGAATTGAAGTGAAAAATGCCAGAAAGCCTAGTGGTTTTCAAGTGTTTATGAACAGTTGTTAAAAAGTTCCAACTTCTCAAAATTGTAAATCATAAAGGTTGTAAAAGTAATTAAGCGGTGTCTAAATGGTCACTCCCCATAGTTCAGTGGATATTATCCTCAAAGATGAATACATTTAATAAATGTTCCCACAAATGGCAGAAATAGTGAGACTTGGAACCTCAGAGCTCAGCAGCCTATGGAATACTTTAAACTTCCAACAAGGTCTTCAGATCATGGACAGCTCGTCTGCCATCTTTTCACTAGTGATGAAACAGTGTACGCAGGCTGAATGTGCTACCTTGATGAGGGGAAAAGACAGTATAGAATTAACAATTAACATTTCTAAAACCACACGCAGGAACAGATACCCCACAGAAGAAAGGTTTCTTAAATTCTGAAAAACATGGTGCAGAAATTAGGACCCCAAAGAAAAGAGAAAGACCAGCAAGAAGCCAAGAAGGGAACACTTTGACTGATTCCAACAGCAGTGCGCAGTCTGCCAAGAAATCAAAGGTACATGTACAAGCAGCTCATGTTACAAAATTCAAACGGAGATCAGCTGGAAATTACACCAAAAACAGCCAGAGGTCCAAATCTTTGTGGGTTTCAGGGAAGACCCAGCCAAACTCGTTCTTCAGAGCAGAACCAGCAAATCCACACTTCACCTGGCCAATTGTAATTGGGCACAATGTTTCAGAGAGAACTTCTGAAAGAGAAATAGTAGTGCAACTCAATCATCTCTACATGTCCAAAAGAGTTGCTTAATGGAGGTTCATCTGAGTCACGGTGCTTAATATATGCGCAGTGTTGATGGTGGATGCAAGTGCCATTTAGTACCCCCTGCAGGCACAGTAGGGCAGTGATAGCTCGATAGCAACTAATGGAGGTGTCGTTCAATTATGGTACATCTAATTTTTAGAACTAATTCCAAGATCAGTCCTGGATTTTGACTGTTCGAGCAATCTTTGATATAATTTTCCTAATGTAGAGAAAACAGGAAATGTTTGTACTAATTCATATATTTTGAACTTACAATGATGAACAGAAGTGCTTAAAAGTATTGGATAATTGGACACAATGAAAAATACTACATTTTTTAAAAGTCTTGTGTTTCTCCTGAGAATATGTCAAAAAATATAATGTGTGCCATAGTATGTGATTCAAAACACACTTTCCCGAAGCCAATTCAGGGCAAAGAAAAGAAAGACATTTTAAATAGAAACGCACCCTTTTTGTGGAAGTCTTGGTGAAATCTTTACAAGTTGTTGCCTTTGATGTGTGTTTGGGTTGACATTAATAAGTTTATTGTAGCATAAATTTCTGTCGTTGCTCCCTGCAGAAGACTGTATCCTTCAGTCATCAACTACGAGTACATCCTTTTCATCACGATAATGTGTCCATCTCCTCATCTGAGGAGGATTCTCCAGCCCAGCAGGTGCCCATGCTTATTACTTCAAAAGAGGAGCGACTTCAAGCCGATATTCAGGTATGTACCTCATGTGTAAATTACTCTTTAGGCCAGAGTGCTCAGCAAATGCCAGAAAAAATGGCTTAGTTTGGATTTGAATGGTCTAATAATATGACCAAAACCAGAGACTAACAACGAGCAGAAGATTGTACACCTTTCCCTCACGTCTATCTCCTCCGATCCATCTTGAAGAAAAACTATGGATGTGATCTATAAACTTGTGTGTATTTTCAATAGACTAGAATACTTAGTACTTAATACTTGACACATACTGCATGGCCAAAAACATGTTTCCAATTTTTTGGGAGTAGCCAATTTTGTTATTGTGCCTGTCACATAATCTAAGGCTGCATCTGAATCTCTTGTCTAGAGCTAGGTCTAGGTCTTCCACCATTGGAAATGCGTGGAGACGCGCACAGACAATAGACCTAGCCGTAGCTCTGGAAGCCCGTTTCGGACACGGCCTAAGTCAGTAAATGTATTTGTAGTATATAAGACTACAATATGTTGAGTACTCAAACATTTTCTCAGCATTTTGTCGTACATGTTAAGTTAATTCCTTAAACAACTCGAAATGTGTAGCACATTTATCAACTTCCCGATATATTCCGATTGTTGTATTGCAATTACATGTAAGCTACTGAAAAGAGCAGAGGAGAAGTTTGATAGACGTCTCCAGCGGTTTTGCTCTCGTCATGGGATCCCGCTCAAGAACAGCGGACCTCGGTGGCAGGGTCGTCAGGTCAGCAGGTACCAGGTATACATGGCTGTCCAAGAACGAGGAGGCTACAATATGGTAAGCTTAGACAGCCAGCTGATGGTTGAAAAAATCATCCGGAACCCAGCAGAAGGATCAATATTTGAGTGAGGCTGGCTCACATAGGGGCCAGCCAAATTAGCCTATATGAAGTTTGGTTGCCACAATAGGAGGGCGCTAAAAACAAAGGATTTTTATCTAATGCCATTCCTATTGCGTCCACCGCTCTTCAAATAGGCTAATGAGATCTTTTGAAGAGGGTGATTTTTGAGTACACATGGATTCCAGTTCTGTAAATGTCACTGATTTTGAAGTCCAGTGTTGGAGTAAGATAGAGGGGGATAAAATGAGATCAAACGTTTACACGCCGCTTTATCCTTATCTGGAGCATGCTCATGTGCGACTACAGATATGCTCCAGGCGGCTGAAGAAATGATGTAAATGCACAGAATTGATCCATAAAATAGTGAATTATTTGAAGAACATGGACAATTCCACATGTAGATGCAAGGTTCCTGAAAACTGTTCAACATAGCTCTGTTGATTTGCCAAGCTCGCCTTGCAAGTCTATTCCCAGCCTCATCTGTAACTTGGAACTGTGTAGTTTGCGCCTAACAGTACCACCTGTCCAGCTATAATTTGATGTACATGTACTTATGGCATTTCCCATGTTGGGCTGCATGACTGCAACCAGACGGAAATATTTCTGGAATTTACTTCTCTGAATTGTGAATTCTGAATTGAGCAGGTAAGCGCCAATCGCGCCTGGGCAAAGGTTTACCACGAAGCCTGTGGAACAAGTCCATCAGGGTCACATCAGTCTGTGAGTTCTGCTGTAAAATCCTTCTACACAAGGTAATTACCTATGGTCGAAAAGTGATCATATGATGCCAGATATGGGGCGGAGAGAACCCCCCCCCTTGTGTTGGTCATTGTTTGATCGGAATCTCAGGAATTCTCTACAGACTTCTAGGGGGAATGTGTTAGGTAACAATAGTCTAGAGTGTGTATAGGGATTGGACATGGGGGGTTACCCATCGGCCCCATATCGTGCAGGGTATCAAAGTGATACTTGAGCAGTAGTGAAATATCCGCCACGGTTAAATGTGTCATCTGCCAGATATTCATTGATGGTTAATAGCACATCTATTATACCTTATGACTAAAGCTTTGGAGAATTGGTTTGGAAGCCTGTGTAGGAGTTGCCTGTCATTAACAGGACTGATGAGCAGAAAATGTGGGATTTGGCTGCCAATGGGTAGGCAACAGGGTACATGCTATTTTGTGTGATCACCCTTTTGGAGTTCTTCCAAGGACGTTCTTCAAAACTTGTGTTGGCAAAAGTCGTCATATTCATACATTCATGTAGTTCAGATCAGTTCGTGAATGTTAAATTAGATTGCTTGAATGGTTGACAGCAATGAATTTGAAGAGGATCAGGATAGATTCAGGTTTGAAAAGCTTTTGTAGACAACTTGGTGACTGAATTGAATGGCGAACAGCGGATCGTGTTTGTAAATGCATGTATAAAACACATACAATTCATGATTCCAGAAACCTGTTGCCTTATGAACTGTATGAGCTGCGGTCTTCAGGCAGGTATGCTGATGAAGCTTCAACGTCCGAGACACAGCGCAAGAAAAAACACCCAAAGCACGAGAGTAAACACCTGATGAGAGAAAAGAAAGTGGAACACAAGCACAGAGTGGCCACTTCAAGCACTGCATCTGCTGCAGTCACACAAGGAGCTGATTATCATAACATCTCCAATCAGCCAATCCCAGTGCATGGCAAGAACTTGCCGCCAATGGGAGGGCCTGGGAACACCTGCCAGCCAGTGATTGGAGGTGCTCCTGTCAGCTTTGAGCCAATGGATGACATGGGTAATTTCTATCTGCCGATCAGAGGGCAGAGCCAAGCTGCAAATCATCATCGGAAAGAAGTCCTGGAAAGTTCAGGACAGTCACAAATTGTATCACAGGGAGAACAGCATGTTGAGGCTTCACAAGGTAATGATTATCCACTTAATACTCTTAAAAAAAATTCTTGTGTACCGGTACTGAAGAACTTCAGCACAGGGACAAAAGTGAGTCATGAACATTATGAAATTGTTATATGTGTAATCGAATAGTTTTAAGAATGACTCCAAGCTACCATATCGTCAACGTTCTCACGAAGTGTCGTTAATGTCCAAAAAATGAATATTTGTCGATTTCCAATTTTTTCAATATTCTCTTTTACAATATCGTGCTTGACCATTTTCACATGCTCCCACAGACAAAACATTATAAATAAAGTTACATTAATGTTGCCAAGGGCAATTATCTTGAGAACTGAATTTTGCATTTTCACGAAGAGACGCAATGCTTAACGTCCTTTGAGCATGTACAAAACGTATTGCAAGGAAGCGGCTGAAAAGTAGGTCAACCGGGATTTTCGTTTTCACGAAGTGATGTTAACTTTGTTACATTCATAGCAGTGCGCGCGTAAAGACAAGATCACCTTCCCTATGATTAGTGTACAATCATCAGAAGGACGTCCACGTATAAAACGTAATTTTTGTTTTCACCAAGTGACGTTAACCTTTGCCAATTAATTTTGGCTAATTAACCCCGGCGTCTTTGTACTAATTACTCGGGTTAAGTGAACGATTAGACATCAAAGAATCATGTATGGGATTTTTGTTACATAAAGTTGTCACAAAATACTTATTTTGGTAGTTTTTATAAAGGAAAAACTTCTCTGGCGCTTATCTCGAAAACCTGTTTTTCCTCAAAAGCCACATTAGCAACACTTCGTGGTGGCGGTGACGATATGTGCACCTAACCAGCTGTACTGCATGTTGCATGTAGGGCTTTCGTTACTAATGGGGTACAAAAGTGTGCCGTAGGATTGGGAAATAAATTGGGATAATAATACCAAGCTGTGTTTTTTATTTTCTTACTACCCGTACATTTTAAGCCAATTGCTAAGGATTGTTGCTCTTTGAGAACTTGCTAAGCAAATTTTACAAATGTTTGCTTAATGCATGGACAGAAAGTATGTTCATTTTGATAGGAAGCCATTATTGCAATTACTGTATACTGTCGTATTTTAATTCTTGTTTTCTTGGTGCTTTTAAGTAAATAGTAAAAAGCAAGACAAATCACAGAACGTTCAAAATTTTTCTGGGTATTAATTATGTCTGTAATGTTACAAACGTAACATGAACAGAAATTTGACACAGAATTTCTGCCCACATATTATGCACGTTACCTTTAAGTGTCTTAAAGATTTAGAAAATTGTGTTTCTTTTGGCTGTTACCAATCTTAAATGGGTTATGAATATAAATCACATGATATTTGGGTAAATTAATGCATTATAAAAATGCCCTGCAAAGTTATGTCCATGTTACATAGTCATTTTCAATGACCCCTGTATTTTCTGAAGTACAGAGAAAAATTTTGTGTCCATAATTATTACAAGGGCTCAGAATGTACACAAATCAACACATCAAAAAATGAACACTATATCTTACTTCGCTGTATCCCCCTGTGGCCCCCATTTCAAATCCTAAATCTAGGTTCAATTGTACTCCGTTAGTCATGTTAGTGTGAAAGTGCCCATGTAAAGAAAATTTGCCCGTGAGAGGTAATGGCATAATCTTGCAAAATACGTCTTTGCTCTTTACAAGAAGGTCGAGGAAACAACAAAATTTTATAATCACATCAAGTGTCCAAACTATTCAATGTACTACCTGGTAAATATTGGTGAAATAACTTGCTTACATCAAGCAAGACACATTATGATCAAGCAGGCACACAAGGTGTGTTGCCCCAAGAACGGGGTGAGATTGACCAATGATAAAAACAGCTGAAAAAAGGCATCAAGAAGCTGAACTGTGAAAATCTCCTATACTTTGGTACAAAGCCAGTGAGGAAAAAAAGCTGAAATCCAAAACAAAAAACACTGAAATCAGCTAAAAAGCTGAGAAGTCTCACCCCTTGAAGAACTTTGTGGCTTAGCCAAATGCTCGAGTGTAAAAAACAAAATTATTTGGAGCTACTTGTGACCATAAGCCCTTTATCATAATTCCCTCCAACTGTACATTATCCATTGGAAAAATTATTTGTGTTCAAATTATTTGAAACGATTTACTCCACTTTGATTTGTTTGGTAGAATAAAAACAAGACCCTCTGTGAGGTGCATGCTGGGGACAGTGTTTTGTCCGTTATTTTCATGCAGATGATGTAACTCCCACGGACATGGATCTCCTTCAAGAGGAATCCACCCAAGCTCTGCAGGAACTGCAAGCCCTGGAGAATCTGCTGGCTGCCATTCAGAAGAAAGAGGAGACTACCACAGTCGATCTCGGGGAGGGTGTGATCAAGGGCTTGGACAGGGCCACTCATAGAGGTAAATTAAACCCGAGTTGTGGTCAAATCTCTCACAAGGCCTTAAGGTTCCCTGTAGGTCTATTATCACAAGTCCACAACTGATCTCAAATCACAGATTTGAAAGTACCGGTAACTTTGACAAAACCATTCCCTTGTCTTTGTTCGTCCAATGTGCGCTCGAAAGGTCGAGGGTCGCCTTTCTGCCGTCTTGAAATTACCATGTGATGGAAAAGAATACACTCATGGTCTGATTGAACAGGTACAAGTATACTCTTGCTTATATGTGGGTTGCACTTGGGCGTCTACACACTCAAATATTTGAAACTGGACTCATCATGACAAGACTGGTAATTGAATCATCTGTAACACTGTAGGTAACAGTAATCAGTTCAGAACAGTAGTTTTATTGATAACGGCAGTGCTGCAATGAATCCCTTCCCTATTAGGCCAAATGCCTCTATCTGCAGGATATCTGTTGACTGCATTCCACCTATGACCCACTGTGCATCACTTGCTCACGGGGCACATGAAATGATGAACCGGTGTACAGAAGTAATGAACCTCTGGCTTGGGTTCCGTCACTTCCATACAGCAGTCAACACACACTAGGCCTGGTAGACTTCCATTTACTGCGATCCATCTTTAACGATTTTGTGCATGGCATGCATACAGTACAGTGTAGTAAAAATACATGTACCTATGAAATTGAATATATCACCACAGGGCAAGTGAAGGTTAAGTTATTCCTTGCACTCTTCCTGTGGGGCACTGTTGATATTGAGAAAAGTCAGTGAACTGCTCACTGATGAGAAGGGTTCTTAATTTCATATTTGCATTCTGTAAATTTGTGTTAATCATCTGCAGTCCTTTTGCAATTTTTGGTCTGTGCACTTGTCAAACAGAGGGTCAGCCATATGCTAGTCCCCTATCAAGAAAGAAGCCCATTCTCCTTGAGTTCTACTCCATGCAGTACAGGGACGAGGCAGAATGCTGCAGGGTGGATGGACCAGCTGTGATGGTAAACATGAATTTCTTGGCACGTGTTTCACTTTCCAGTAATGACTGATTTCGCACTTTATTTTACATTGGAGCAATTGCGGTCAAGGTTTGAACTGTAAACATGACAAACAATCTAGTCAACACTTCAGGGCAAGTAATGTTTCATGGGTGTTATAATCTCTTATAAAGGGCCTGCTAATGTTGAACCTTTCATTCCTAACGTTTAACCTATACCCATCCATTCAGTCCTGCCTGTACCTGCCAGCATGATTAAGACTGAGGTACATTTCTCAGGAGAGATGTGTCCAGGTTTCTTCAGTAGCAAACATCCACATGCTTTTTTTTTTTTCTTAGATGCTATTATTGTGTATGTTTTAGCACTGCACTTACACATCTACATGTGTATGTTACTGGCACGCATGCATTATGACAAGCCACCGCACCCTTGGTTAAAAGAGGTAGTTAACGCATGCACGTGTCTGCTGCACGGAAGTGTGGTACCACCCTATAGCTAGTAATGGCTTTAAATGGATGAGCTGGGTCAGTGTTCCAACAGCTTGCACCCAAAATGAATGTGTCCGATATCATACCGGACAAAGTCTGCTCTATTGGCACTGACACACGCTAACTCATACCCATGATTTGTTCTTGAATAACCTTGCCTGTTTAAAATACCGAGCTAGCTCATTCCCGTCACCAGCTTTGTCTAGTTTCTGCACAGTTTTCTTTTGCAATACTCTGAAGAGAGTGAACGACGACACGTGTCGAGTTCCAGACATCGCACATCCGAAGACGGCAGGTCACACCTCGTTCACTGCTGAACTTCCAGTGGAAGGCGAAGATAGAAGAACACTGAGTCAAGACATGTACGACGATATCCTCCTGGACATAGACGCCATGGGAGATGAGATCGACCGTCTCGATGATGAGCTGTGTCAGGAACTGACAGAGATCTGAATTATCCTACATGCTGCAAGCAATGACAACATGATCGTGCTGGTAAGACGATGACCTCAAAAGTCATAGACTTGCGTTATCCAGAGTACATAAACAGTGTTACAGCAACCCCGGATGAAAACATCACTGTATTGCAAAGGAAATCTTCACTTTTCCCCAACAAATTTCAACTTGTTGGATAACTAACATTCTTGCGAGAGTACAACTATAATGACATTCTTAAGTAAGACCCAGTCAAGTTGAGCCCTGAAATCCAGTTAAGTTTATCAAGTCAATTTTCCATCTACACGTAGCTTCATCAAGTCAATTTTCCAGTTACACGTAGCTTTATCAAGTCAATTTGTGTGAGCACATTCTCAAACGATACGTTTAATTACGAGGCATACCATAACTTTGAGTCTTTCCGTACAAGGGCTAATTAGGTCTGCCAACCCCAACAAATGTACTTCAAGTTTAGAGGGACTTGACCTACACATTGCTTGAAATGCATGCTGCTAAAGGTGTTAAATGACACCATACATGGCCGCATGTAACAGTTGACACAGTTTAATTGTGAAATAGCATTGATATGCACTGGGTCCATTGGAATAAGCCTAGTTCCTCTGTTGACATTCGTTCCAGGATATACTTAATATCAAGAAACAAAGTTACTTCAATGCATAGTATGCTGCAAGCCTGTGGTATATTATAACAGATGTTTTAATGATTTATAGAAAATTGGGCAAATACAAAAAATATGTTTGTTTCTACACTCGTGTAGCAAAGACCTGACATTTGTTATGATGATATTCATTTTGACTGTTAAAAAAGTTAATATTTTGAAGCGTTGGTTCTTAAATGTTACACCAATGGTAGTATTATGGACACTGCAGGAACCAGGCATTGCATTCTCAGAGAAGTCTTGGTACAGTATTAATGGATTTTGTATTATAATGGTGCCATGTTTGAAAGATATGAAAAAGACAATGAATTACTTTTAACCCAGTGCTGAATGATGTTCAAGTTTTAAGTCCTAAACGTGGCATCAAAGATTCATGCTTTCAAATAAACTAGAAAACGGTATCAAACATCACAAATTTAATTTTATGCATCAACAGTAGCAAAAATGAAATGAGCATTAGAGAGCAATTTATCTCCACATTTGGAACTTCAATACATTTCCGTGAATGAATAATAACAGACATTCAAAATTATATGCATGCATCTTCTATCCATATTATGGCACTACCATTAAGTGCTCTGTACAATTGATTCAAACCATATAAAATCAAAATAAACATACCTTAACATGATCAAATGAGTGCAGATACAAGTACTGTACATGCAGGTAAGTTGAATTTAAAGCACATGTGCAGTTCTTCAAGTAATATACAGATCTGAATTATTGTCAAAAACGATGTACTTTTACATCTTTTAAAGGAACAGTGTTGTGGAATTTTTGTCACTTCAAACCGTGTACATGTTTTAGAAGCACAGATTTATGTTACGATGACTTCACCTTTGTAGCAGTGATGGGAATAAATGTCAACGTTCTGGATTTTATGCTAATGAGGATTCCCATATTCATGACCCAATATTTGACGTCACTTGAGGCAGGAGAATCTCCATACCTTCTTCTTCACCTTTTCTTCGAGTACGTTCCACTTTACACTTGGTGTCTATGTTAAACAGCTTGTTTGGATAATAGCAAATACTTCTTCAAAACATTTTGGTGGGTAATTTTGAAGGTATCAATTGATTTTTGCATTGTTCTTATGCTCTTTTGAAAAGGGGTGCCTGGTATGACAGCATCAATATACCGTCCTCCAGAGCATATGTTGATGAAGTATTTAAGAATAAGGCAGTTCAGTATTCTGTAGTGCGTGCCCAAAATGAAGTACATCCATGGTCATTTGGACAAGCATGCAAGGATTGTCCCGTCAGTTTCAGTGCAGCCCTATGCAGGCTCCCGTAAATGCTTTGTTTCCCAAATGACCTTGCTTGTTTGTAATACTGAGTTGGCTCATTAACATTAACAGTACCGGGCATGGTTTGGTTTAGAGTACACAGTACTACAAAATCCTACGTAAAACTCTGAGCCTGAAGGGTCTAGCGCTACATAATTACTATTTCTGGCTAGGTTTATTCCATTGTTACTCGTACAGAGAACAATGAAACCATGCATTCATAGTGCCACAGCACTGTATGGTACATTGTCTTCTCTATTGTATTTTATGGCTTCAGAGAATAATGTCATGTCCTCTTACAAGCGACAGGGCTGAGTACTACATTTTACTACTAAGTAGTACTTTGTAGCATTCGGGACTGTTAGGGTTAAAAAACTACTTGTTTGTATATTGTAGCACATAGGACTATGCATGGAAGCAAAGTTGAGCTGATGCATACTGAATGCTTACTTCAGGCAACCCCCAACAGTGAAAGTCAAAGCCAGCATTTAACTGCACTCATGTGACAGAAGATCACAATTATCAAATATCTTAAGCTACATGTAGACCTACGTGCAGCTGACCTCTAGTTACACTTTAAAAAAAGACCTCAAGGAGTATGCAGTCGACTCTAATTATAAAAAATACTGTTATCACAAAAACTGTTACAAAGAACAATTTCTGAGAATCCCACTTTCTTGAATTCTAAAGGTTTTCTTCATTTTTCCACTCCTCTTACAACAAAATTCTGATTATAACAAAGTAATTTATCTGGTCCCTGCAACTTTGTTCTAACGAGAGTCGACTGTACATGTATTTCTTCAGAATCTGGAAATGACTGCCGAGAGTCGTAACTACCAGTACCGAAAATTGCAGGGGCATGTCAAGATGGACACAGTGACATTTGTTGCACTGTCTTTGCTAGTTATTACAGTTTTGCCTACACAACCAGTCAAAAGTTATCTCCATCTGTTGCATTGTCTTTGCTTTTACGATAAACGAAATACAATCTCACCCACAAAGGTACCGCCCGGGAGTTATCCTATATTTTACATTGTCTTTGCTACCAAAATCACACTACACTACCAACAGAACTACATTTAGATAACTGATGAACACTAGTAGAAGCAGTAATATTACTGCGCATTCGTCAGCAAGCCATTAAACATTTTTGGACAATTTTGTACAGCTAAAGGAAATTGAATGTAATAAAATATTGGTACTCATCAACAATCTTGCAAATCTTAAATTGGCAGCTAAAAATATCATGACGTGATTTATATGGAAGATTTTAGAAAACATTGGGAGATGATTAATTTAGAAAACACCTTTCCAGGGTTGCAGAGAGTGGATGAATATCCAGGCTGTGCCTTAGAGCTTGGGGTCACCGGTCATGACAAGGTTCTGGATGTCCACCAGGCTGGCATTGACAGCCACAAAGAACCGCTTGACGTCCGTCTCCTTGCTAGACTTGAAGGACAGCATGCATGGCAGAAAGCTGCAGGTGGTAGGGGGGAATTACATCAATCAAGTCATCATCTCCTCCAAAAAGACAGACTTCTGAAGTAGGAGTCATCCGTTTTTGTCATTTTTACAAGCGTACTCTTTTTCCTGGCAACTCCCCCTCTAAAAGAGTACAAAATGAATGAACGAATTTCTCTTTGGTGCCTAAGGACCCATTTTAATTCACAATGTACGGCTGTTGAAATAGACGACCAGAGAAATTATGGCAGGAAGAAAACTATTGTCCATAACAGGCCTTGACACTCGCGGTTTTCCAATTGCCCAGGACAAATTCCTCTTTCAGTTCGGGCAAGTAATAATTAAGGACAAATTGCCTGATAGACGGGTACTTTTTTCTCAAAATAAAAGTGTCTATTTTTGTGTCCAAGAATTGCAGTCAGAAAACGTGCCTTTGATTTGTTCTCCTCTTCACAAAAGCTTACAAAAAGTGGTAAAAGAATACAGTTGCAATGATTTTTTGAATCATTACGAACATGTACAAACTTGCATGTACAAATGCATGCTGTGCTTTTAGCAGGGCACCTTTCCACACAAGGGAAAACGCATACATAAATAAACTGTGAAATACACTTGTGTCTGGGTACCAAACCTCATAGCACGCGATGCGTAGCGGAGCTTTGAGGGGGTGCTCGAAGACCGTTTCACAAGTGGCTGTGACTTCAACGTTAGTGAATTTAGCCTGGTACTCGTGTATGTACTTTTTACTAACTTTTTTATGGTGGCTGATCTCCGGCAGGAATACACTTTTGTATTTTATGATGTTATACCGCCCTAATACGGCGTTATAATGCCCTAATTTATGGCGTAATAATGCCTCATTTTAAGGCGTAATAACGCCCTATAGGGTGTAATAATGCCCTAATTAAGGGCATAATAACGTTCTAATTTCAGGCGTAATAAACGCCCTTTACGGTGTAACGCCGCCTTATTAAGGCATTATAACGCCCTATTACGTTAGGGCGTTATTGCGCCTGAAATTAGGGCGTTATTACGCCTTAAAATAGGGTGTTATTACGCCATAAATTAGGGTGTTATAACACCGTATTAGGGCGTTATTATGCTGTAAAATAAAAAAGTGTACTCCTGATGGAGACCAGCCACCATACTTTTTATATATGATGCCAAGCAAAATTGTCGTGCGATTAAGAAATAGCCATTGTCCAAATTTGTATAAATGATGCATCAGAGTCCTGCGCACACTCTGCACACACGCAAAAGTTGGGGGTGATAGTTGGCCAGTCTATGATAATCGTCATTTTTAACATGTTTCTAAAAACAGTACGCAACCAATTCACCCCCTCCCACCGGCGTACGCTTTGTACTCTCGTGAAAATGACAAAAATGGATGACCCCTTAATAGTCTCAGGCTGAGTTATTGTAACAGTCTCAGTAATAGTCACCACTATTCATACATCCGCGTACACGTATGTCCCATATACATGTAATACAAGCATTGCATTGCTGGAAGTGCAACCTGAGACATTCAGAGTAACTATCAAGACATGTTCTGAGCAAGCTCAAAATTGAAAAATACTTTCACGTGTTTGACAGTGAAACAACACAGGTGCTATTCTCAGCACATCGTCCACAGGTAAATTTCTGTTGTCAAATCTGTAAAAGACGCCGTAACTGTGGTCACAGCTCACTCATGCATGTCTTGCACACATTACCAACTTGAGGCCTGCCACTACACACATGTATGCATTTGATATTGGTGACGCCCTTTAAGCAACTGAACTTCATGTTCCTGTGACCAAAAACAGCAACAGTCTAATTACAAAGGAGCAGTTTGGGTACGGTGACTATGCTGGGGGGGGGGTAAAAGTTTTTAACTTCACACTTCCTGACCCTATCGGCAAAGATTTCAGTAAGCTTTTGGACCTAACACAAGAAAAGTCTCTCCAGTCACCTTCCCTTCATGTGCTGAGTCTCTACTGAAGGCCGAGCTCAAAAACTTACTGATTATCAGCGATGTTATAGAAAGCACCATAGCCATCTTCACACATTGGTGCATAGCAACCGATGCATGAGCGAACATACCCGACACAACTTGTAGACAGCTTGAAAGTCCCCTGGCCTCCGCTTCGAGATAAAGAGACAAGACAGGCTGAGAACTGAATTCAAATAGAAAACTGCTCGGGAGGAGGTGGGACTTACTTGTTGTCGGCGATGGTGTAGAAGACGGCGTAGCCATCATCGCACATGGGTGCGACCTCGCCTAGACTCCCACTGTAGCCGGCACAGCTGGTAGACAATATGAAATTCCCACCACCACCGCTTCAGAATGGAATTAGTCAAAATTTCTAAATAGAATTAGGATGTAATTTCATTGTCGGGTTTGCAGTTATGCCCCCCCAAATACAACGTATGCCCATTCAAACATAAAGTAACATTTGAAAAAGAGCCGCAGCGCTTTTCCATACATTGAATCAGTGCTGTAGGCAAACACAGCCCTCAGGGCAAAGATGATTCTCCATTACTAGCCTTCAACGGCACATTGCTATTAAAGAACCCTTCCCTTTGCGCGGGATGATTTATCACGATGGTAGGAGTAGTACATGCACATCCACACAGCGGAATTGGATGCCAACCCTCATTTGAATAAAACAGGACCCAATGTCATGATGGTGCGTGCTTGCAGAAAACATGAAAAATACATGTATATGTTCTACTAGTGAAGGTTTGAGGCGGCACTCTAAGACTCTTGGAAGATGTGTGACTCTGAAAAGAACGGTGAGTTAAAACGCAATGTTAACTACAAGTGAATGTGTCTCACGCACACTTATGGGTTTAAAGGCATTGGTGCGAGATCCACAGTGTGAACTGACATGCACACGGTCTCCATTCGTATACATCACACTTTCTCTTTTACTGTGACGTCACACTTCAGTACACTACAGCAGATAATTCTAAGCTAAGCGTGTTTCATGGGTTGGCCAAAACACTGGTGGCAAATGTACAGATGTATATCACATCAAGTTACTGAGAATTCTGTGCCTATTAGGATTATGCAATACACATCGATCTCTGCTCATACTGTGATCACAAACCTGTGAGACAAAGTGTATACAAGTGGGTCTTTGGTAAGCATGAGCAAATTGGGCACTGATAACCAGCTAAGTCTAAAGCATTCATTTCCCAATTCAGAGTGTGCTACATGTCTTCAACACAGGGCCCTTTTCTGTTTGTGCATTGAGCACACAGGGAGTGTAATTGAGTCTATCACAGCCCTGCCTAAGCTCTTGTCACAACTCACAACAAAGAGTTACTCAATCAACCGCAACGGTGTTCCTCTCTTATCATTCATCCGCCCCCCTTATCTTGCTACAGGTAGAGGGACTTGTGGTCAACCTGTGATTGGCCCTGTGGAGGACTCCATTACAATGCTGGTCTACAGTTCAAATTACTCCTACCTCTTTGTGTAGGCGGGGTCCGTGTACAGAGCTGGGACAGGCAATCCTTCCTCCATGGCGATTATCTGCAGACCAAACAGATGCCGGTCGCAACCCTCTCCGTAGCAAGCCATGGTCATGTTTTCATCGTGCTTCTTGATGGCCGTCAGAAATAAGGCTTTTCGTTCTGACACCTTGAAGGGAAATAGGTATCAACAACAAAAAGTACTGGTACCCTGCCTGACGTCAAATTGTACGTGTTTATTGTAATCATTTCTCACCGACATACAAACATGCAAGGATTTCCAGTGCCCATGAAGAGACTTAAACGTGTCATGGCAAGAGCTGCAGATTCCAACTCCGTTTGTACACACACAGGCTTGAACTGGCAAGTTTGTTTCTGCATTCAATTGGTGACCCTGAACAACAGAGGACAATAAGGTCCCTGATTGACAGAGGGTCCCCGATTGACAACTGTGTACAAAACTTATGGGTGGTCTTCTAAAAGAGTTAAAGTAGCAACAAAAGAGGAACAATAGGGGGTCCCCAGTTGCAGGCAAATACACACTTGTGTGAGGCTGTGTGTACAGAGCCCTCGTAACTGTGGGTTACAGCTGGGTGTTATAGCGAATACTGCTCACCAACATTGTTTTGGAGATTTAAAAAAAAGTGACGATGCGGTAGTTGTTCCACAAATTTTGAACGCACGACCACCAAGGGCCAGCATTCGTCAAAGCCAGCATTGTAAGGGACAGTGGTTGTGGTATTGTGTCATTTTAAAATGGTCAGAATTCTCAGTGATTACTAGTGTGCTGGGAAAAGTTCATTGGGGAAAAACATGGTCTGCACCTGCTTAATGATACTTGTTAAATATGAAACCTGCCTTGGTATAAAAGCAAAGACAAATTTCTCCGACCACTGGAGCAGCACTGCAAGGTTACCGTGCCAAGCAGTAATTCTTCTTCTCAATCTGCAACGGTGCTAACTCACCGATCTTGATGGATCTAACATCGCTTGACACCACTGCACAGCCTCTGAGGTGCATGAGCGCAGTGTTTCCGTGCGTCCATGGTAGAATTGTCGGGTGGTGGCTGTTTCATATGTTGCGGCCGGCCTAGATAGGTGACGTTGAAAAGGAAAGACATGGTAAATCAATTTCACAGACACTAGAAACTTTATCAGCATAATGTTACTGATGTATCAATTCACACTGATGTGACAATTCACAAATGTAATTCAATCCATTGTTCTTGCTTAAAGTCCCAGAAGATGAGCAAAGGCAAATATTTATAAACTTCAGTGCAACAGCGACCTCTATTGGAACAACTTTGTGTACGACATATAACAAAGTAGACAGCAATGCTTGTCTATATATTGTGACTGTATCCAATGCAAAATCACTTCAACTGTTCCATGACCTCGGCTGATATTATTATCATACATTCATCACTACTCCTGTTCAGTTCAGCCCAAAGATCTTATAGCGCCGCGAAGCAGCGCAAGATGGCGAACTTCACCGTGAATACATGTAAAACGTTGTAATCGCATGGGCGCCATTTGAGCAAGCGATACGCCCGTGCAATGCACATTAATGCACAGGCGCCGCGGCAGGCGCGTTCACCTGGTGAGCCTGCGCCCAAGCATTACCGTAAACTGCGCAGGCGTATCGCTTGCTCAAATGGCGCCCATGGTAATTACATCCTTTGGACAGAGTTATCCATCTTGTGCCTTTGGCGCTATACGATCTTTGGTTTAGCCCATCCAATATCTGTACAATGGAGTAAGCTGCAAACTATGCAGCTACAATGCTATCCTCACTTGTGATGCAGCATATAGTAGGCAAGCTGTAGAGCCAACTGGAAGACAGAATCTGGGTGGAGTTTAAACTTCTTACACCACTGTTTGCCAAAAGCTCCGCACCTACTACTCAGGACCACAAGATTGGCAGCCTGTAGTTGACGAGCATACAGGAACGCATGAAACAAAGTAAACTATATATGTAATTGTCACCTGGGACAAAATCGCTGAAAAACGTGGGGTACATTTGACTTTGTGCAGTCTAACATCCACTAATACTGGTGCTGATGATGCTATACCACGGGGTATAACTATCCCTGCTCAGTGGGCTGAAACTGCATACATGTATAAGATTTCTAACTCCATCTCTGCTCCCTGGGGAGTATGCAGCTTTATGCTGCTATTTCAAACACAACCATCTCTGTCTTCACTGGTATCCATTTTATACTCCAGGACTTGGTTTGGATAGAGAGAGTCACACGTCGTTACATTGGCTTGCTTTGGGCTATACTGTGTGCCTACACTGGGTTCGCACCCCTGACCCTATGATCAGGAGTTACAAAGTATAGCCACTTGGCTGGAATTTTCAAATGCAAGACATTTTCAAGGGAAATTTTGTGTTGTCCCTGAAATTTCAGGGCTGGCAGAAGGGCCTTGTTGATGCGAGGCAGTGTCGTACTTGAGCCTATTACAAGACCGGGCCCAGGACTGTCCACAAGACCAGACACAAGACCAGACACTAGGCTGGGCACAAGACCTAATCATGAATACAGATACACGGCCAGTCACAGGACAATTAACAAGAGCAGTTACAAGACCATTCACAAGACCAGACACATGAACTGACACACATGACCAGTCACAAGGCTCGACACAGGACCTGTCACGAGACCAGTCAAAAGACCAAACACAAGACCATTCACAAAACCAAACACAATCCCATTCACTTGACTTGTGGTGATGTGGGGTCTTGTGCTGTTCACATACATGGTCTCAACTACTGCACTGCTACATGGGAGTAGGCATGACCCAATGAGGCTTCACAATCATCATCATAGGAACTCACATTGGCAGTGTATGTGCTGTATGCTTTCTCCATGGCCTTCAGGATTTTTTCATCAACCGTGAAGAAAAGTTCCTTTGGTGCTTGGTAATTGGTAAAACCCATAAACTCTGAGGTCTGGGCAGGAAGAAATAGACTGAAGTTTAAAATCAAACAGTAATCCTATCGCTGCTGCATGTTTGGCATCTCGCTCACGTTCGCAATGAGCAATAAGCAACAATTATTAAACTGGAGTCATAGATTGTAAAATCAATAGTACAAACCACACTCGAGGAAAAGGTTAAAAATCATCACACATCTCCCCAAAATACACAGGATTGCAACAGAGGTTGCAAAGTGACATCAAGTGCCACATCTGTACATCTATGATGGAGCCATGAGTCCCCAACAGATAGCAACAAACAGTGAGAAAAGGCTCATTATAGTCAACGAGTTTCAATTAAGTGAAGTTTTACCCAGCTTTTTAAAGTAGTACTCCACGATGGTTGACTGATTGGGATTTGTACTTACTGGCCATCGCCCCGCTGTCTGTATTAGTTGATCATGTATGATCTTATTCAGATTCACAATTGTCATGCCGTCGATGGGAGCGTGCTGTGGTTAATACACAATTCAGTTATGTGTTATTGCTTATATTTAATAACACGAATGATACACAAAAGTAAACATGTAAAAGATTGTGAAACAAGTGCTTGACAAAAAAGTTCAACAACAATCTTCTAAACAGCATGACTACTTGCACAGCACAGGTTTTGTACACACACAGAACAGGTAAATATTGGTTTCTTTTCAATAATGTCCAGTTGAACAGCAAAGTACATGTATCAAAGTGATGCATCGAACAACACACCTAATACACTTTTTCCAAAATGATCTCAGTCGAAATGCAGTGGTTTTGTGCAGATCCACTGTTCCAAAATGATGCAAAGAAAGTAGGCCAAATTAAAAAAACTACATGAAGGTAACTTCCAAATGTCGAGTGTACAAATGGTAAATTATGAAGTACATGTACAAGGACGATACACATGACACAAACTGTGATATATTCATGTACACTGTACACAGGCAATCTTCCTTCATTAACATGACCTTTTGTTGTCACTTTCAACTAGGACAACCTCAGCTCATTCAGCGGTACATCCAAAGTGTTACAACTGAGTTCAGATGCCCCATTTTCAAGACAATGGTGTTCAGTCATGCATGACAGCAGGGATACCATAAAGGTATCATTGAAAAGAATACTGCTTCTACTTTGCGGAGATCTTTATACATTATAATCATATCTCAAGGTTTGGGCATATTAACCCCTTTCCTCAGGGTTTGGTTTTTTTCTGGACACCCTGTCTAGGCCAGGGCTGGCAAGAGGTCAAGTAATTTCTGGGGGGTATAGGCCTACTCACGTCACCGTTGCAAGTAACAATGCCAGTTTTGAAGCAAAGTAATCCATAGGATTTCTCGGCCCAACGACTGTACACGTCTCCCTTCAAGGACTGCTCCATGTACTGTCACCAATGAACAATGAACAGAGAAAACAAACCAGTTGGTACATAGAGGTTAAATCATCCAAGCATTCAGACAGGTGTGACTGTTATGTCAGACTGACTTCAAGCGGCCACTTCCAGCCAAACCAGGTCAAGTCTAGACCTACAGCTAATCTCTGTCAAAATGCATACTCACCAGTGGGGACTGACCAGCTAAGCCCATTATTTGAGACCTGCTTATAGAGATGTTGACTACATTGCTGCATTTAGATACAAACAGCATGCCAATTTCAAAGTATGGCAGGAAGCCAAGGCAGTGAATTGCATTAACCACTACCAGCCGGGGACCCCGAAATC